CCGCCACGGCGGCAGCGACTCCGGCGACGGAGACAGCGGCGTGGACCTGCGCGTTGTGGGTACGCGTCTCCTCCTTCTTCTTCTCCCTCCGGTCCTTCAGCCACCGACCCACCGTCTTGGACTGAGTGGCCGTGGCGGTGATGGGTCCCGGAGTCACCGCCGTCGTACGGAACTGCGAAATCTGGTTCAGTGTGTTGTTGTTCGTCCGGCAAAACTGCTGCATTTGCATATTCATAACAAGATCCGTTGGACAAAATTGTGTATCCATAGAGTGAGAAAAAGAAAAAGAATCCGAAATCAGCAAACGTCAAATATACAAAACTGTGTAGTGAAGCTAAAAGGCTGAGATCGGTCATAGTGATTTCTGTCATAATAACCTAAATATGGTAATTACCGCAAATGGTTAAACAATTAATCGAAATCTAATTGAGGAAAATCTTGGAGTGATGAACAAGACAAGACAAAAGCAAAGTAGCTTGCTTTAGGCCAAAGGGACTTCGATGTTCATTAAATAATCTTATCAATGATTTAAAACTGAAAAAGCAGCCGAAGAAGTTCAATTTCCAAGCGCATATTTCGTTAATTTGTTAATGGGTCTGATAATAATTTTCACGAATTTTAATAGCAATTACATCCACTAATCACTTGGAAAAAAAAAAACATTTAATGTAAAAAAAAACAACCGGGAATGTCATGGGGGACAGCGGAGAAGAAGAAAACAAAAGACAAGATATTATGAGCTCTGGGGTTTGGTTGGATAAAGAGAAAGCTACTGAGATTCGTGTGCTTCTTCCATTTTTTTTCTCACTTTTTTTTTTGTTTCTTCACCATCTCTCATGTACCCAGTTGTCAGCGTTGCAGTCACGCAGTAAAAATCAAAACTTTCCAGAGAGAGAGAGAGAGAGACGCAAAACCCAAAAACTAAAGTTGCCTCGCCGGCCCATATCATCTCCGGCGAGTTTTCCGGCGAGAGAAACAAGTAATACCGACGGAGAACGACGAAAGTCACCTTAATGTCGTCGGCCTCCGGCGGGGAAACAGGAGGGCTGTCGGTCAAGGAACCGTTCAGAGGACCACTGCTGTGCGAGAGCCGACCTGACGTTCTTGGAGACACTTCTTGCTGCAAAAATATTACAAAAAAAAAAAAGGTAAGAAAGAAGAGACAAAAACAGCAGCAGATTTGTCGCCCCTACCAAAGAAAAATCCAAAATTTGCGATTATCAAAAGGGCCCAGAAAGAGAATGTTTAGATGTGTAAGAGAACAATAGAAAACTATTGTTTTCTTTACATACAAAAATAGTTTCCTCTTGGGTTTTAAGATTAATAATTAAAAAATGGTTACGCGTGAAATCATCTTCATTAACCCAAAAACCCATTTAGAAATTCCGATGAATTTAAAAGCGCAGAAATTGAAGAACATAGAGACAAAACCCAGATTAAATCTGTCATCTTTCCATAAAAAAAACGCTTGGTTTTGTCCGGAAATGCTCTGTTTTTGTCTGAAAATGCTCTGCTTTTTCCCAGAAAACCCCAATGAGAGAAAGAGGAAAACGGTTACACTCACAGACTGAGACAAGATACGGTCCATGACCATCTGAGAAGTCTCGGAGGAGGCGAAGGAGAAAGGGTTGCCGGAGACGGAGACGGCGATGCCGTTCTCCTCCGGGTCTCCGCCGCCGCCGGCGACGGATTCCTCCTCCAGTATGACGCCGCCGCCGGAGATCTTGGAGAGGAGGAGGTGAGTCGCCGGAGGGGGCTGGGAAGACGACGGGGTCAAAGCCTTGGAGACCTCGACAGCCGACACGCTCCATGAGCGGGAGAGGAACTCCATCGGCTCTCTCGGTGTCTCCGGCGGCCGGAAGGCCGGGTCGCGTCGCCATGTCTCGAGCATAGGTTTCTCCATTTTGTGTATGGTGCGAGAGAGAGAGAGAAAGAGAGAGAGTTAATGGTGGTGGAGATGGTGATGGAAGTGAAGGTTGTCAATGGCTGCGATTTATAGAGTGATGGGTGACAACGAGGCTGATATATCACAGCGCTTTGCCCTTCGGTTTTAATGCTTTTTCTTTTCTTTTCCTTTTTTCCTTTTTTTTTCTTTTTTATTTCCTATTAAATCCTTTTTCTTAAAAAACAAAGTAACAGCTGAGTATAAAATTTCATTTTTTTGAATATTTTCCTTTATAAATCCCTCTAACAAATAAGCTGTCTTTTCATGAAATCTCCTTATTTTTTAGACTAATTTATTTAGGTTTCTAAAACTCCAAAAAAAAAGTTTTTTTTTCTTAAAGTATTGATGTGTGGATAAATGCTCATTGAATTCTCTAACATGTTACATAAATTGAGATATTTTGAATCATATATAATAAGATACCACAATCAAAACCATCATATCTATAGTTTTCTATCAAAATTATCCAACATTATGAAATCTAAACAAATACTTTGGTATTTAATGGCATGCAGTAATAATACTATAACTATCTATCCGACTGTTTAATCTCGAATATTTTAAAAATGTTTAATTTATGTATATATATATATATATATTTTATTTATTTTTTGGTAACCAGGATAGTTCCTCAAACTTTTTATCCGACTACATAACTCTAGGTCCGGGACCAGCCTTTGTATATGAACCATTTTGATCCAGAAATTACATTCCTCCCCACCAGTAAAATTTAACCTAGAACCTTAAGGATAACTTTGTCACCTCTGGACCACCAAATATATTTGTTATGGATTCGCTGATATTTACATATGCTCGTAATGCTTAACCATCCTTGAACTAGGAATATATATAAATCAAATTAACTATAGTGCGTGCATACATATATTATATAAAAAATGTGGACTTGGTACAAAACACAAGTTGGTTGATCTCTTCATCATCCATCTCACATTTATCTCATTTACAATTAGTTTTTTTCTTAATTGATTATGATGATGATGATCATGATCATGATCATGATCATGATGATGATGATGACATTAATTAACACGTGGAGATATAACATAGACGCTACGTACGGACTTTTTTGCAATTTTTATTTTTATTTTATGTAATGGAAAGGAGACACTAAATAAATGAGAAGGGGGTCCTCAATGGGGGATATATCTGAAGTACCCTTTGACTGCTTTACGAACTTCTGTCAATACTCTCCAAAATCAAAATTAAAAAAAAAAGAGTCTTGCACAGTTTAAAAGACATTCAAACCCTTATAAAAATCCAAAAAGACGAAAAAACCTTTTTCTCAATTTAAAAAATTAAAAAAACAAAAAGATAATTATTTCTCTACTCACGATGCATCTCTCTTCTACCTCTGAAAATCTTTCTCTCTCCTACCTCTCTGAAAATCTTTCTCTCTCCTACCTCTTGCTATATGTTCTTTCGCTCTCTTTCGAAATCATTGAATCTTTACCCAAAATTTGAAAAAGTCGAATCTCTTGCTATCTATTAAACTCTCCTGTGATTCAAATAAGAAATGAAGTCACAAACGAAAAAAAAAGACTCATACTCAGCCCAATACTCATTTTCATCGATATCTTTGAAGAGATTGAGAATCGAATACAAATTAATGAGTTAAACGATCATCGGGTATGTTACTTCTTTTTTTTTTCTCAGGTTTGTTAGATTTTGAAATTTTTTTATGTTGACTTTAAGTGTTGGCATGAGGATTTTACGGATAGAAATTTAGGGTTATGTTTTTGAATTTTTTTGGATTTCAAAATAAAATATTGGGATTGAAGTCAAATAATCGATTGTGATGTGAAATGGTTAAAATCGGATTGATTTGAATCACATGGATGTATGAGGCGATATTTGAATGATGAATAATATGTTAATTTGGATCTCACTCATATAGGTGATAGAGTTTGATATAATTTATGTTACATAATTGTATGGTCACAAGGTGAAAAAACCACATGCCAAATGTTGATTTAAGTTGCGTGGTAACATGTTACAGAGTGATTTAGGTGGCATCGTCACAGGCCACATGATCAGTTTAGTCACATGGTCACAAGTTACAGGTGACATGGTCACAAGTGACATAGTCGCAAGTCACAAGTGACATGGTTACAGTTCACAGGATAGTAGGTCATATGGTCACGAGTGACTTGGTTACATGGTCTCAGACCACTTGGTCACAAGTTTCATGGTGACTTGTTAACATATGGTCATATGGTACTATGTTAAATTGGTCACATGGTACCATGTTACACGGTCACATGAGAGTTTATCCTATTTGGTCACATGTCACAAGTTACATAGTCACATATCTCATGCCACTCGGTCACATGGTATCATGTTCGTTTGGTTACAGAGTACCATGTTCACTCGGTCACATGGTACCATGTTCACTCGGTCACATGGTACCATGTTCACTCGGTCACATGGTACCATGTTCACTCGGTCACATGGTTCCATGTTCACTCGGTCATATAGTACCATGTCACTCGGTCACAAGGTATCATATCACACGGTCATATGGTGATATGATCTAGAATGCTGACATATTTATTTTATAGCACATTGAGGAGATAATATATGAAGTGCTCCAAGTTTATAATTGCCAATAAGGTGGCGAAAAAAAATCCACTTGGGTATGCAAGAACACCATTAAAGTGGATTTCAATGAAAAGGTGCTTCAAGTTTATGATTGTTAATCGAGACTAATGATTGTCATCTCATTCTCACGGCTTGTCTCCTTGCAACCGTCATATATGTCAATGGAAGTGTTGAGAAGTAGAATCAATAACTTATTTATGTTATGAATTTATTTCTTTTCGTTATGACTTTTTGTTTGTTTATTATAAATCTAAAGAATTTTATGTTATGATGTTATGTTTTATGTTTATTTTATACCTGAATATATGAGATGAAAAATATTGGAAGGTAAAAATTTTATTGAAAAATTTTGGAAGGAAAAAAATTTAGGTTGAAAATTTTTTGAGGGAAAAAAATTTGGGTTAAAAAAAATATTGGATGCTAAAAATATGGGTTGAAAATGTGGGGTCACACCAAAATCAGTGATGACTTGTCAACCGTAACTTTTTTTGTACACTTGGATTATACTGAGCCCCACCAAAAATATTGCATCTTCAAATTGGGACCCACAATATTTCGGTCACAATGGGTCACAGTTGGTCACAGTTGGTCACAAAGTGGATATTTTCAAATGAATCGATCTGATTATCATCACATATTCCATATGCACCATTTTGAACTATAATAATTGAGTTATTCGAATTTTGTGTACAAAAGTAGTTTTCACAAATGTGATACATTAGTGTCCATTCAAATTGGGACCCACAATATTTCGGTCACAATGGGTCACAGTTGGTCACAAGGGTCGATTTAGTGGATTTTTTCAAATGAATCGATCTGATTATCATCACATCTTCCATATGCACCATTTTGAACTATAATAATTGAGTTATTCGAATTTTGTGTACAAAAGTAGTTTTCACAAATGTGATACATTAGTGTCCATAGTCTTTTATAAAGAATTTTGACAATTTTGGTCTTTTTATATTACAAATTCGTTTTAATGTTTTGTAATTTTGTCATCAACATAATATTTGTTTTCCTTATACCTTATAATAATAGACCAAAGCTTGAAAAGTATGTTTCCACCTGTATTTACTTTTGTCACTTGGTCACAGGTCACATCCGGTCACAATGGTCACATAGTGTAAAATTGTACATTGGTCACATTGGTCACATGCCGGTCACATGGGACCCAACCACTACTCATATGAGATAAATTATTTACTATTTTTTAATATATAAAATAGAACCAAAGTATTATAATTCATTATTTTAATACGTTATTATACAAAGATCTTAATGTTTTAGTATAAAGATATAATATAATATTATTATACAATTTATATTTTTTTATTCATTCAAAATTAGGGTTTCTTTCAAACTTTATTGATGTTGATACTCCTGTTACGATATGGATTCGCTTTCGGACTTCGCTAGGACCTGAAAAAAGGTTTTGTTTAGGTCTCCCACTTTTTCATTTGGCTTCCAGTTTCTTTGTACCCCTCATAATTTTGCTTTGTGTTTTCTTACACTCCAACGTTTCGAGTTTAAAATCAATGCCGTACGAAACTTCCAATTATAGTCGGATCCAGTAACTTCCAACACTCTTTAGTTTTTCATCACTTTTCCTTCTCATTCATATATATTCTCCATTCTTATTCACTATTCATTTACCATCATACAAAAAATATACAATTATCGATCTCTCATCTCGTCCGTCTATAATAGTTATAGAAAATATAAATACAAAATGCAGATCAATTCGACTATTCTGGACACAGTGACCATGTGACCATATGAATATAGTATCATGTGAACATTATTAACATTCCTGACTATTCTTGACACCATCACTTCTACTTGCTTGCTTCGATTTAGTTTCGATTAGGATTTAGACTTAGCTACCGGTCCTTGCGTTCGACCCCGTGTTACGAAGATCTGTATCCTTGTGGTGAGTTGTGAATCGGGTTATAAATTCTAGACTCGGTACACACGTATTAAGTTTTTTGCGCCGTTGCCGGGGACTGGTTAGCCTATTTCTAGGTCTTTATTGATTCTAGATCTTTGCTTGGTTTTTGTTTTCTTTTTCTTTTTTGTTTTCTTTGGTTTTTGTGGATTCACTTGGTCTCGAGTTCTTCTTTTTTTTTCTCATTCTTCATCAAAATAACATCTACAACCATCAATGTGTATGAAAAACAATAAGATTTTACAAATCTATGACAATACCATACAACAAAAGACAAAACTTCATAAACATCACCAAGTAGAAGAAAAGAAGTGAAAAACAATAAGATTTTACAAATCTATGACAATACCATACAACAAAAGACAAAACTTCATAAACATCACCAAGTAGAAGAAAAGAAGTAGAAAAAACATCATTCTTCATCAAAATAACACCCACAACCATCAATGTGTA